ACCATCTGAAATTAGATTTCGAGCGTCTGGGCAGCTTAAAAAAGAGCACGATAAGGCGAAAAAAATGTAGCAAGCAGTATTACATAGACAAAATCTGCTTAGCACGACACTGAGCACTATGCATAAAGCATCTATGCAGGGCGTTTATCCAATACCTACCCCGGCTGAAAATGAGATGGTCTGAATGGATGGATGACCGCATAATACACTGGTATATGTGGACCTTGTGACGACTTTCTTTTGTCGTTCTAGCAGACGTTTATAAATGAATGAAGCAAGGATATGGCCAAAATAACAACCACTTTTAAGCTAACAGCTAAAACGAATACGGAAACCAAAACATCAGAGAAGAAAGACAAACATTCCACTACGAACACGAAACCAGCAACTTCATAAAAATCGATGATGATGAATTGTTTTTTTTTTTTGGGGGGGGGGCGCCCGAACTACAGTGGTCATCGGCGCCCATACCTAACTTCATAAAAATCAAATCACCCCCAAAGTTTCCTGGTTGAGTTTTCGGCGCTTACATCATCTCCCCACCTGGCTCCGCCGGGTCTGCTCTCATGAGTCACCAGACGGGGACGTGACACGGGCACGGTCTGCGGCCCGTGTTTGTGTGTCTGTGTGCGCGCCAGACTGCCGCCCGGTCAGACAGCCGGCGCGGCCGTTCGTGCGTGACCCCCCCCCCCCCTTCCCTCCCCTGCCGGTCGACCCGGACCGGTCAAAAGGTGAGACATCCAGAGCAACGCCGGGGGCTGATTCACAAGGATGGCGGGGCGGGAACAGTGGGCAACAGGCAACGGAGCTGTAATGTAAACGCGAGAATCGCCTTCATCGATTATCTAACGGGTTAGGAAATCCCGTACCTTCAAGGAATTTTGAGGATAAACTACATGAGCACATCATATTTCCTCAAAATGCTCAGACAGCATGTCATTCAAATGCAAAGAAAGCCAAGCTGGCTCTCCTTTGAAAATATACCGTATAGCAAAACTTCCACGGACGGATGCTTTAAATAGGTGCTATTTTACCAATTTCCCGAACCATGACAGCGTAGTTTTAAGAAAACATTTTCCCAGTTCTTACATGTTAACAACCAGGATCTTGAAAGATTGAATGAAAGACCATCCACAAATAGCTGCCATCGACACAACCGCATTCAGACTTCCCAAATGACAAAACGCCACGCCTGTAAAACCATGTTCGCGTGCGCGCTCCTCACATAGCTGCACAGTGCACATGCATACCTTATCCAATTCAATGATTCTGAAATCCGCATAACACTCAAAACACTCATTCGTGAACTAAGCGCAAGAACAACCAGCTGTGATTCGCATTAGTTACTTGTCATTGCTCTTGTCATCTCCCCCCCCCCCCCCAAACACTCACACACACTCCCCCGGCCCAATGACCGAAACTGAATCAGTCCAGCCCGAGTCCCCCACAGAAGCCTGGCCATGAACGATCATAGGCAAACTCCAGAACGTTTCAGGTCTTCCCAGCGAACCCTTGCGGACCGCTCCATTTCAGCGAACAATGCGTAACGCCCATCCGGTGTCTATTCCAGTCGTCATCGAATCACCGGAACAGGCCACGAATTCATAAATCAGGCCACGGCAGCGGCCTTGCAGTCGGCCGGCGACGAGCGCACGGGAACCCCGGCTCGTGGCCGCCACTGCCGCCGACGCCGCCCACGAAGAGCGCGCGGACAATCCCACCGGCGACGCTCAACTTAGTTCCGACAAAGTGCTCATAATCACTGAGCGGCTCGTCCTTCGAGCTCCGCGCCGCCGACTATCATTGCAGCCGCGGCCGGCGACCGACAAAACGGTCCTTGTTAGCGCTCGAGCGAAGGCTAGAGATTTATAGTATCACCGGCGGCCTTTCAACTAGCCGCCACCGTGTGCCCACCTGTGCTAGACAAAGTCATACCGCGTCATTAGTCTCATATATAAACCCCACATTACCCCATATATAAAACAGCAACCGGCTAGTCAGAAAAACGAGCCTGCAATCAGGCGACTCTCCTGCGCGGAGGAGCCTGATTAAAGCGTGCACGCGCTTGTTCACGTCGAGCACCTCTGTTGTGCTGAACCGCAAGTCTGGGGTCTGGTCGAGACAGACCACGGCGAGGAGACAGGGTCGAATCTGACCGCGGAGCAGCCTTGCCGAAGGCGGCTATTGCACCGTGTGGGTCGAGCAATGAGTGCGGCGACGACCGGCGGTCGGCGGGTGGCCGGCGGTGGTTAGTGGGGGGATGATTAGCAGCCCGTTTAGTCAGGCCGCGGTCGGTCGGTTGTGATCTTATGACTAGAGTTGGGGAGGGAGGGGAGCAGCGTAGGTGGCCAGGTGTGGGGGAGGTGGAGGGAGGGGAGGGGAGCCGTTTTGGACAAAAGTCGTGGGAGGTTATGAGTCAGGAGTCAGATAATTCTCGTGTCTTTTGGTCGGCAAGTCTGCAGCAGCAGCAATAAATGTGCTATCTGAAAGGTCGAACACGTGTCAATTCTGTTAATACGACTGCTTGTTCAACCGAAATACGTTCTGTAAGTGGAAAGGCCTGCAACGCCTACCTTTAAGGAAGACTAGTCAACTTGAAAAAAGAAAGGAAAATGTATTTATCTATGTAAAAATGGTATTAGCGTAAAGGTGAATCGTGTTTCTCGAGCAGTGCCATTTCGAAATAGCGATTCTCTCTAATGAAGATGTCCCCTTGATTTAATGACATTCTTAATGGCTTTAGAGTCGCTTAGACCAGACTCTAGACAAGTCCTCTTTTAATATTTAAAGAAAGCGTCACCTTTACTTTTGAAGAGCCTAATATTCCTGGTTTTCCTAGTAGGCTTCCATTCCGTTTTGTCGTTCGACCACAGAAAAACAATGTGGCAGTTCTGACAAATGCTTGGTCCTGTGCTGAAGCACACTCGGCAGTTGATATGAATTTTTGACACCAACACTGGCTGCATTTTGGGCACCACCACTGACCGCAGGACTTTGCCGTCAGGAAATCAGATAGCTGAGTGGCTCAGTCCTGAACGCTGAAGTCTACATCAAACCAAACGCCAAGCGAGTCAGCAGCTGACAAGGAGTGCAAGTGAACTATTTTGAAAATGAGATCGCAGTCATCTTGAGGTTAATCGAGGTCCTCCATAGCACAAAATTAAAGGCCTTGCGAGACTATGACCCTACTGATCACGAACTTATGTCCTACTTCAAATAAAGACAAAAGAATACAACTTCAGACCTGACACAAGGTGCATGCAACGCTGCTAGCACCATAACGAATGAAATACACCGACATCATCTCACATTGCTAAGGTCCTGTTCACAATAACTCATGTTCATAGCAAGAGGAAGCGCCACCTTCGGCGACAACAAATGCCACAGCCTAAGCGATGACAATGAGCAGACGGGTAGGCACCAGGGACAATGACCCACCCAGGTAATCTGGGATGGAATAGAAAGACGCCGCCAAATTGTCTGCAGCCCAATTTGTTTAGGACCGAGCTGGGTGGTCACATGAAACCCTAGACGGCCATTTGGATGCTACCTTTCTACGGTGAGCTTGGAAATTGTGGTGGACGATATGTGTAGCAGATAGATGACTTAGGAACTTACAGAGCTATTCAGCTCAAGGTTCATTTTTCTCCAGTCACCCGACATTTCCTTCTAAGTTTGAAAAAGCATCCAATTATAGCAAAATATTCAGGTTCATGGGGTCTCAAGCTCCGTAACGCGTGTTAACCTCCACTGAAAAAGTTGCAAATAAAACACAACGTTGGCCTTTAATGCACTCAAATGTTGCGTGCAGGGACCGTCGATAATTTGGAGCTACACACCCCCTCATCCACTGCAGAAAATGAAAATAACTGTGTCGACACGCTATAGCATGATAGCTGGCGGATCTAGGACGCGACATTTACGTGCCAAGGACGATCAAGAACCAGAATAAGGAAATGAAGGATGGAATAAGGAAATAAGAAAGATATACAGAACACGATCCGTTAACTCTACCAAAGCTGAACACAAGTGGCATGCTGAATTCGCCGATTTCGGGTACGAATACAAGTAAAACCCAGGATCCACGCCATAGGGCTACCAAAGAACAGCCAAAAGTCCCGTTTGGTAGGAATGTGAGCGCACCACACCTTCCCCAGCGAACGTTTTCAGACAAGTGTTATGCTAATGCTGACCTGTGAAGCAGCGTACCCTTACAACCCTGGCCTCAACACGAAAAATACAAGGAAGTACACGGCCATAATCCGTACCAAACTCCTTCAAACATGATGCAAAGCAAAAATGCTCATGACATGGTGGTTTCCTCTGAAATCCACCGCAAATGTTGCAGCTATATCACACGAGCTTGTAAGAAATGTGCATTATTTTTGCATACGATCGCTGTAATCAAGGAAGTACGTGCATATACGGGAAACGTCTTCGAGTTATTAGGTGAGAAACCGATGTTCTGTCACAGTTCTCACGCGCGTCAAAACCGCAACACCCCAATGACGACAACTGACCCGTTTAAGTGGCTTTTTTTGCGTGACCATTCTGACATAACAAGGTCGAACAAGGCCACTTTGGGATTTAGCATATGACGTTGAAATGAAAAAAGGAAGAACGTTTCTAAACCCTGCACGACCTTGGCAGTGCTGACGGCGTTGATTGTCGTCCAAACATGGATCCAATCCGGCGATGGAATGCTGAGCAATCAGCAATCTAACAACCTTCATAGCTGGGAAAACAACATCACACAAGCGCAACATTGTGCAAGCATTCGCAATTACAGGTCCGTATTGCGTTTGGAGATAAATATCTCGAGAACTGCCAATAGCGAGTATCACATTGTACGTAATCACGACTTAGTTTCATATGCAAACATAGATGCATCAACCAGCGCGTTACATCTAAATAGCACAGTTAACGAAGCAGAACTCGTACACATTTTTATGGGCAGTCATTGGGCACAATTAGCAAACACCAGGCACATTGTTACTTACCAAGACGGCTGCTTCGTCCCGAGGATAAAGATGACTCGAATGGTTCTGAAACAAGAAGATACACATCAGTTATACACAAAATAAAAGAGAACGATGGTCGAAGAATGAAGATTGACTCGGGCCCAATCGGTGCCCGTACATGTCGCAACTTTCGATTTTGTGTGTCTGTAATTCGTATAATACATCGATTTATTAATTCGACTCTACTACATGTTATAGTTATGGCAAGGCTTTGTCAATACGAGGGTTTCAGAGTAAATGTGGATGATCAAAATAGGGTAATCATCGTCATTCGAAGTTAGTAAGCATTTGCGCTCGTGTGGAGCACGATTTCCGCGATGCCTTTGACTACCAAGAACCAATAACCACAGGACTACCAAACAGTGACAGTCACATTACAGAGCAAAACAAAAATGATACAATATCACAAAAATGGTCACTGAAGGAGCAATACGATCGCTAGCTTTGGCAAAAATTCAAGTGTTCAGAGAGGAACATGCCAAAGTCCCGGTTCACATATGACAAAGTTCGTGCACTCGAGGATGTCTCATCAGGAAACAATGGGCTCAGATATTGACCAAGTTCGCGATACAATGCCATGTAAACTTTGTAACCAAGCAAGAAACGGAAAGAAAACGAAAAGAACTTCAATCATGTAACAATGACACACTTTTTCGCTAAATCCACTAAGCTACCGAAACATGCATTGCTACACACGATAGAGAAAATGCTGTTGAGCGCATAGCAACTGTCAAGCGAGGAATGAGCCAATAGTTGACACGAAATTCCTCCGGGAATCGTGACCAAGTGCTACAAAGATCCACTTAGAAAACGGACAACACTGAAAAACCGTCGAAATATCAGCGTTCGAATTGAATGAATGGCTCGGTGAACACTGTCGCCCAACACGCCAAGGTTACTGATGGCACAGAGAATGTGTGTCGTTCTCAGGCACATCACGGACGGCATGTCGATGGACTAGTGGAAGGCTCAGTGTCACTCAGCAGATCAGTCAGTAGGTGGTCCATACGACTGAGCATTGGAGGTCACGTACCCAAGAAAGCAAACAACGTATGCAACAACATGTTGGTTATGCAGAGTGTGATTTTCAAATAACGATCATTTCGGTACGTTTTTATGTTTCTTCATTCTTACGTTGTTAACAACATGTAATTAAAAATACCGTACATAACAATGGCACATAGCAAAGAGCATAAACGATATGCAGGCCACATACAATATTTCTATCTCAACAATAAAAAATGAAAAAGCTATGTCCAATTTGCGCCAGCAGAGCACGATTGCTTGAAAAATTACATTACGTCGCATCCTATTTGCGCAATAACACTGCGCAATTGTTTATCAAATGCACCCGAAAACAACAGCCACTTCTACGACCCATCACCGATCCCGACTTCACGAGCGAGACGCCTCATGTCACGTCAGTGGAACCAGGACGGGGCGGTGCCCTCTGAAAGGACACCGATCCTGCAGAGGAGTGGTCCAGCCATCCACACCCAGCACACGGCAGCGCAGATTCTGCGGTACAGAGCAGCCGAGACAACAAGACCGCAAATCCACCACCGACAAAACGCCCAGACAGGCGCGCGCCCCAGTTATGTCTGACGGAGCTTAGAGCTTACGAACGGAAGCGTGACCTGGTAGGTTCTGGAAAGATCCCGCTTTGATGTTTCACATGCAGAAATGTCAATGATCATGTAAAAACAAGACGGTAAATACATTATTTACAATCAATCATGAACCTTATTTCAAAGCGTGTCTAACGAAACAAATGAAATAAAAAAGCAGGGTTCGGTTTTGGTGAAAGACTTGCTGCATTGTTCACCATTTCCCATTCCGAGCATCGCACGCGATTTTCCACTCATTAAATCATAATAACAAAAAAGGAAGACATTCATTATACACTTAAAAATGACGTAATGCAACCTTCAAAGGTATATCTTTGGGACGAACAAATTGATTACAACACAACACGGACATGTATACAACAACGAGCGCAAACAATACTCAAAACAGAAATCCAACATCGCATGTACCGTAAATCAAAGACGACAAGGGAAACCGAACGCGAAGTTTCCTTTTCCGCCTCAGCTCGGATGCTGCCTATATCCTACACATACATTATGTATATCCTCGTACTTATCGAACTGATACAACATAGCACGATTCGTTTTTTATCAGTGCAAAACTCGGCAGCAGAATGATAATCTCGAGAAAATACGCTTTTCGGCACGTGCACACTGCACAGTGGAGGCTTATAATGCACGTGCCATGTTATAAAAAGAACCGCTGGTCTGACCGCAACACATGAAAGTAGATGAAAAGTGACAGAAACTCCTTCAAGGCGAGGTTATCAAAGATTTGTCAAACCACCATGTAAAACTACCGGTAATAATACAAAATGATTGAGTTATAGAGGGTGACGTTTTGCGTCAAAGATTTACCGGGTGGCCCAAAAAAAACGTTCCGAACTTTGGAGGCCTATATCTCAAATTCGAGTGCAAATAACGAGCCAAAATTTTCATCAAGTTTGCGTCACTTCTTTGCGCATTGGTATGCCAAATCATAACACTGTACCATCATTTTCAAGCCAGCAATCTCATGTTGAATTAAGTAAGACGTTTTTGCTTTTTTTGCCGTTGTTGAACGGTAGTAATGATTGGCTTAGACGTACCATGTTAGAATAAAAATAGAAAATAGAACACGTGAATGATACCAGCACGTGTGCTGTTATTTTAAATATTTTTGTCCCACTTATGTGCCAAATATTCAAATGCTAAGCCAAAATTGCTTTAATGGATGTCATTCGTTTCAACACAAGTCCTGTTTCGAAGAGAAGGAGCGGCACGGTGCATGGGCTACTGCTGATCGCCCTCCCTTCAAGAATATCAAATAGTAGATCGACCGAAAAAGGAAAAAAGCGAGAGGGAATGTGTCACCCCCAGGCCTGAACCATCAATGAGGCTAGTTGCCAGTAGCAGTCATGGCTGCAGGCCGTGGTGCCGAGATGGAAGTGGCCCGTTCACTCACATTTTTAGTAAACATCTGAGCAAAAAAGTGATTTTTACATGACATGCTAGAAACACGAACCGTTTAAAAAGTAATCGACCGAATAACATAAAAATCATACCATTTGCTAAAAATATATGCCGCATTGACTATTGGAGGTTTCAATGTTGTATCTTTATCACTTTCTGAGAAATATTGATTTAAAATTGGGAACGTTTTTTCTGGGCCACCCGGTATATCTGTAAATAAATCCCAGATAAGCACTGCTGTCAGTTGTTGTCGATAACATCAACTCAAGGACAATAGCCTTACACTATAGACCCACAAATCGAATTGTGGTAAAATAAGTTAGGCATAAAAGCGAAATAATAAATTTAAAAATGGTAAAAAAATATAATACAGTGCATATGTAAAATAGCAACAAATAGTAAAGCCGCTGAAAAGTGTTGCAATCAAACATGCTGAAAATGCCGCAAGATTAGGCACAACCATAATGAAAATTCGCATCACAACACGCAAATCTGTCCAGCGAACACGCATCACATCTGACCTGCAAACATTAACGAAATAAATGACACCCATTTTACTGCAATGTAAAATGGCAAAGTTGCTTACAGCAATTGTGAAAACACCAGAATTCATAACCCATGACCACAAGTCATCGGCGCCCTATTCCGCTCAAGAATCCTCGAGAATCATCACGACAAGATTCCCTCTTGACGTGTCTGGAAAACAGTGACGCAGACGTAAAATCTTAGTTCAAGTCTGCGATAATCAGTGTAGGAACGTGCTCGGTGAAATAACCCAGTGAAATGAATGAGTCACAGAGACTCAGAGATCATCTGCCGCCACCAGCTGGGTGTGACCGATTTTCAGCAGAAGAATTTCAGAATTATCTCACAAGATCCATGAGTCACACTAAACGGTGAGACATAGCGTGCTAATTTTATCTGAAAACAGGTGTCACCTGCAACACATTTCACATTGTCGCCAGTAGACCAAAGAGAGAGACTCATGCCATAAAAATGTGGGCATTGAGATGACATTCGCCGGAAACGCAGCTTACGACCGATGGGTGCTTTGTGCGTGCAATGCGTCCTTTCAAAGACCTGCTAAATGCATGACATCTCCGGAGAGAATGCAATCAAGTTGAGAAAAAAAAGAAAAAAGCAGACAGGCAGTGGATGGGAGGAATGGAGGTAATCAAAGCAATTGATTTGATTTGGAGAACAAGCGTGTAAGGGAAGAGATGGACGGGAGGGCTGAACATTAGAGGGAGAACAATATATTTTAGAAGGAGAGAGAGAGAGAGAGAGAGAGAGAGAGAGAGAGAGAGAGAGAGAGAGAGAGAGAGAGAGAGAGAGAGAGAGAGAGAGACGAGGGAGATGTTGAAGGCATATATGCCATATACAATTATGCAGTCATTCATCGGTCTGACAAATAAGAGGATGCGGAGCAGTGATGTCCGCAGGAAAAAAAAAACAAGATATACGACAAACAAAATATTAGAGGGAGCGACAGGTGAAATCAGCAAATTTCTCAAGTCATCCTCGTGACCGGTTCTGCATCGCTCCCACTTTTTTAACATCTCTTATTCAGAGAGAAACATCCCGAATTCAGACCGTCCCCGAATTGCCAGAACTGTGCCGTGTCAAACACCACCAGTAATCCATGTGTGCACTGTTTGCAGTCAGAGAGACACAAACACGGAGCCCAGGGAGCACCAGTGCCTTCTGAAGGAGCCAGCCTAATCATCAGGAGCGGTGTCCGTGGGTGCGGCCCCGAGAGACGACACCGGCCGAACAAATAGAATACCATGTTCGACAAATTTCACCAGAAGTCTGCCTATCGTGGCATCGGGATCACGAGCAGATTAGGGTACCGGCTGTATGGAATCGACCGGAAAAATGACACCACAAATAAGACTGAGAGGCAATGGGTGCGGCTCCGACCTCAGTCGAAGTTTGGACGGTATTAGAATACACATAGAGTACGCCAGAAGGACCAACACGCCA